AATAATCTTTAATTAGGGACATCTGACGTTTCGGATGTCCCTAATTAAAGACTATTTTATGCGTTGTCTTCCCGATTGTGACTTACCTAAAAACATAATGAATATAATGAATTATATTGTATATGATGCACTGTCGCCAGTGAATAAATAATTCATGCATTATTCATTTTTAAATTAAATTCAGTTAAAAAACTCTCGTACCTCGTACACGGTTGCCGTGAAATGTTCGGATAAAAACGACGGACAGAATTCGTTTACGTCCGCAACTTTGATTTCTATAACTGACGTGGCCGTCCTGTCTCCGTCAGACATGGATACCTAGAAGAAACGTGTTTCAAGGTAAATTCATCTGTCGACAAATCAAACCTTTTCGGTTATAACACCATGCTGAGACGGCGGCAGTTTCTCCAAATCGATCAGCTGTCGAACGAAGACTTTTCCGTTTCGATCAATCGTAAAATATTTGCCCGGTTCAAGCGAATATGACAACTGAACATAAACATAAACAGTTTTGTAAACATCACATGCATCTGCACCTTGGTAGAATGACTCGTTACAGCAAAGGGAAAACCAGGGTCGACTTCGGAACCGACGGGCGCGTTTTCTTTAACGATAGCTCGATAAAGAGGTGCCGAGAAGCGCAACGGTTGAGTCGTGGACCTGTTCGAACGTGCACTGACCAAAAGTGCTACCTACGAAGGGGCTTACTTTTAACTTTAAATGAAAAACAAACAATCGGTCGAAATCTTCGCAACACAACATCAAAATGACGTAGATTCCAGTTATTTCGTCTCATTCCTTGGATATACATAAACGAAGTGCCAATTTCTACCGATTATCAGGCTCATACCGACACTGCGTCTTGCATGGCTTAACGCTAAGACGTCACTTGATTTTGTGGTTGGCAGCATGAAAAATAAGAAAAATACCACGTTGAATTATACGCTAGTATTAATATAACAAAATACTATGTTACACAGCTCATCTAGCATTCTGATTGAACTGATATCGACCATCACTAAGGAATGAACACAATGTGCAAGAAACGGCTGGTCTGCTGGTGCTTGGTACGACTGACGGAAAGACTGACCGATCGCTAATCGAGCAACAAATCAGGACTACGCTGTGGAAATGTCATCTGGGCTGACACAACTGCGAAAAGTTTTCTTTTTGCTGGCTGCGAAGTGAAATTACTACTTGATTAGCAGGTTCATTTTGTCGCGATGTCGAGCGACCA